CATTTAGGTTGCATACAGACTCTCAGTTTTATAAATAGTGACGTCCTGGACATCTTTGTGTAGGAGCTTCTTGCTAAAGGCATTTGGACGATCACTTAACATTCAAGTCTTGAACATGGAATTATCTCAGAGCTCGTCACAAAAGCACTATTCTAAAGCACTCCCTCCCCACTGCAAAAGCTTTTACATCTTGCATGTTCAATACTTTTTCTTTCTTTTTTTCTCTTTGATTCCTGAAAGGCTGAACTTAACCTTGAGCTTTGCAGTGTAGCTCTGTGGAGGAACCAACCTGGGAGATCCAGCTGGGTGGATTGGTGTTTGGTTTCAAGACTGACTCCTTAATAGATCTCAAACATGTAATAGGAGATGTGTGATGATGCCAGGACTCAAAATCAGTGTCCCCACGACCCAGCAGGCATGGGCATAGGGGCCAGGTGGAGATAGATGGAGGCAGACCTTCCTGATGGGGGAGAGGCAAAAAAGCTCTACGGACACGCAGCTCCTGGGGCCTGACCTTCTGCCTACCTTTCAGTGAATCTCCTCATTTAAGATCATTTGCAACTCATTTATATTTTTACAAAACATCATGCAGCACCAACACAACCTGTCTGCTGGCTGGATAAGGCCACAGCTGCAGATTTTTAATCTCTGAGTAAGTGTTCACCCAGCGAGATGCTAGTTGTTCCAACTCCGCTTGATTGAATAACCCTCCACCCTTGCATTGATTCAGGATACCTCCTTTATCATCCATTGTCTTGTAAATAATAGGCTATGCTTTGGGCTTACCTAAATCTGTGCCATTGATCTACTGATTCTTACAGCAGAACCTCAAGGCTTGAATGATTCTGATCATAGAATCTTGTTTAGTATTAAAAAGCATTTTACACACACACACACACACACACACACACACACACACACACCACTTTATTTTCCCTAATTTTCTGACTTTTTCCACAAGTCTTGTCAGTTTTTCTAGATAAGTTTGGAATCGTTTTGCCTAAAACAACAACAACAAATCCCGAAGAATTACTTATTTCCTGTCTCATTATAAGCTCAGTTAGGACAGCCCACTGATTTGGGGAGCAGCTCCTACTGTTTGCCTTCCTTCCCACCTCTCAGGTGAGTTTGTCTCTCCCTTCCACTAAGTGAATGGCAGGCATTCCTCCCAAACCCTGTTCACCGGGGGCAGGCTCCATTCTGTGGCCCGGGGAAGGCGAGGGCTGCTTCCCAGTCCTAACTAGGGGTGAGTTACCAGGAGACAGCACAGCGGGGACTTTTGCAGAAGGATGAGCTGGTTTCTAAGAATTACAAAGAGGGTTTGGTTTCTTCCTACAAAAAAAAATGGGAAGAAGAAGTAAGGCCTGGAGTGTCCTGGTAGGAGGAAGGGGAAGAGGCCTTGGGCCAGCCCGCCCCACTTTGGTGCAAACAGAACAAAGGCCAACCCACCCCAGGCACCCTGGAACCAGGCCCCTCGAATCATAAAGGCACCCATTGCCTTGCTAACGATGGCCATTTATTTGCAGTGCTTGGCCTGCCTGCCCTGCCCTGCCTGAGAGCCCTGAAGCCACAAAATAAAAACTGTTCATCTGTACCGTGACTCTGGGCAGTGGGAGTCATTGTTATGAGCTGATTTTTATAGAGGCGGTAACAGAAGTCTCTGAGCTTGGTCCTACTGCTTTCCAGTAAATTTGAACCCGGGACCCGCCATAGCCAGCATGCTTTCCCTGCTCCTATAGGTCACCCCTCTCCACTCAACACCATCCCACAATCTTCCCCCACCCCAAGCTTCCCCAGCTTTTTGTCAGAAACAGCCCCTGTTGATTCACCAGAGCAAGATCTTGGTGCGTTTTATCTCCAACCCAAATGCCAAGAACAAATAGGGTCAATGAACATTAGTAGGATAAATGAATGAGTCTATTCAACAGACATTTGGGGAGCACCTACCACAAGCCCACAAAAGACAACGGGATGCGAGAATGACAAGACAGACACAGTCCCTGCCCTCTTGGATCTAACACTGCAGAGACAAGGCATCCACTCTGCTTGATTCCTGCTGGCTGCCTCTCGGCACCTTCGACAGTGCTTGGCACTAGGTGCTCTAAAAATACTGGTTGGCAGAAGGAAGGCAATAAGACTGGAGGAGGTGTTCAACAGGCCTGTGTACAGTACACACTTGATTATGTAATAATATATGCACACAACCCTGCAGTTATGAGCTGGGACACAGGAGAGAAAGACATCCCTGTCCTCACTGTGGCTACACGGAGGCAAAAATGCTCTGAGCTGGGAGAGGAACAGAAGAGGAGCTTCTAGAAGGCTTGAGAGGGCCCAGGCATTTAAATGGGCAGACAAGTGCCCACCCAGCTCCACAGGTGGGTTCCTGTATGCTCTAGGTTTCTCTTTACAGGGAAAGGGCATGGGTAAAGTAGTGGTGGCATACCAGGGGCAGAGATGTCCTGAATCAGAGTGCCAGAGATGCTCCCCCAACTCTAACCTGCAGGCTAGGGCATCTGGAGCTTCACAGAAGGCATGCTGGCTTTCCCGGGACCAGTGTTTCTCCAGGCTTAAGCAAGCGTCCTGCCACCACCAGCAATCTGGGACAGGAAGAATGAAAAGAAAGCCGCCTGGACCATTGGGCATCAAGGCTGTCAAGGAACAAGGAAGTTGGCAATTAGAAACACTAGTAATCAGGGACCAGGGACCAGAGATGATGACGACTAAGGTCAGAAGGAGTCATTGATCAGGGACACATGGCTAGAGTGACTTGTAATTAGAGATGGTGTAATCATGGGGAAATGATGTCATTCATGATCAGAGAGGGTAATGGTCATACATGAAGGATCAGGAGGCAGTGCTCAGAGATCTTGGTGATCAGAATGATTGTTAATTGGCTATATCAATCATTGATCAAGAACACAAAGGACCAAGGTGACAGGAGTATTAGGATGAAAGCATTTGGTGCTCATGTTCTTAATGACCAATGGTAGAAAAGCTATTGGTGATAAGATTCAATGACTAAAGACATCCAGGGATTTTGGTGGTGTGTGATCTACTGGGGATCAACAGCATCAATGACTGGAGAATTTGATGACCAGAGACACAGTTTACTGGTGATCCCAATGACGAGGAAGGTTGGTGAGCAGTACTACAGGTGGTCAGCGGTATAAGAAATATTGGTCCTGGGGGCCTTGGAAGATAAATAAATTCAACAATCACTGATTTTGACACTACAGACTGTGGTAATCAGCATTGACCAGTCATGGGTACTGGTAACCACAGTCACTCGTGACCACATTGACAGTCAGAAAATTTGATGCTAAGAGGATTCTATGATCAGGGACATTGTTGGCTAGAGATGTTGGTGATTGGAGACAAGTGACCAAACACATTGTTAAAGAGACATTGGTGATGAGAAATAGTATGATCAGAGATCATGTAAGTGTAATCTCATCTATCATTGATTAGGAAAACATTAATCAATGACAATGGTGATCATACTTCTTGATGACCTAGAGCATTAGTGACAGAGCGAGCAACACCTTGATGCTTAAGTGGTAAGACACAGTGGTGATCACAGAGATGGTAGATAGAAATACTGAGGACACAGACAGTGGTCATCAGAGACATTGGCAAACAGACACATTGAATAGAAATATTGTTGAACAGATATGCTGATCAGAACATTGGTGGTGAGAGATATTCATGATCACACATATACTGGTGAGCAAGCAGTGATGGTAGACACTGGTGATGTCAGTGATCAGACACAGCATCCATCAGTGGCATTGACGAAGTATTGGTAATTAAGTAATGGCAATCAGTTGTTAGTAATTAGATGTCTATGATCATAGGCTCTGGTGTGATTGTCATTGAATCACTGACATTATCATTGACCATTGAATAGTCATAGCTATCTCTGTTGACCAACATAATTGATTAAAGAAGACAGAAGTCAATGACATTAGTGATCAAATACATTAGTAATCAGGTTTGACAATGAATGGGAATATTGGTGACCAGCTAGCTCAGAAACAAAAACTGATCAGTACCTGAGAGGAAGTAAATGTGAGGTCAGTGCAGAATGTGAGTCTGCAAGAGCCCCAATTGAGCCCTCAAAAAAAGGATTAGTGTGTGGACCAAAGGCCAGAGAAGCCACAGCCACCCTCTCCAGTAGCCACCCAGCCACCAGGACCCTCAGTTAGGTAATAATGAGGAAATTCAGATAGAAGCAATTCAGAAGATTATCTGAGTCCCAGCCAGATAGGGCCCCAGCTCCTATTCCAGTTTTTCCCTCCAAATCACTGGGCTATAGAAGCAGTTCAGCTTGACTGCTAATTTCCATGCCTGGGACTCAGTTGTTCCAGGAGTCCATAAGACAGGACAGAGGCATTCACAAAAAGTATTTTATTATTAACAGTATTCACTTTAAAGGAATAGAAGGATAGCATATAATTTTTACAGACAACATATAAATGTTGTACATAATTAACAATAACTTAGTTCACTAATCCAAAATAAAACAAGCCAAATGAAACATAAAAACAGAAAATACTGCCGATTCTTCTTATGTGGATGCTAGTCCAAAATAAGTTACTTCTGGTGGTGGTGCCCCCAGCAGCAATCAACGGCCCATATTGCACTTGGTCAACTACATCAGCACAATCCTCTTCCTGGGCACGGCCCTCTCCAGCTGCCACACCCCACCACCACCCCATACAGAATCTAAGCTCAGGCAGGGTTATGTACAGCTGTACCTTGGGAAGGATCCAGCCAGCCACAGCAAAGCAGAGCAGAACCCAGGTCTCCTGGGACCCCAACAGGTTCATGGCCTCTCCTTAGGTCCTGGCCCTGACTCACCCCCAGCTCCTGCCTTTGCCACCTGCCAGACCAGCCCGGAGAAGCCAAGAGCAGCTAAGGCCCCGTCCCTGGCCCCCAGCTCCCCGTTCTAGGGCTATGGGATCCAAGAACTTTTCCAAAAATAATTGCGAAGCTACAGCCTTGATTTGTAGGTTTTATTCCTTTCCATAAGAAAGGCTTCTGTGGCGAAGTACGTTTGACTGGACCCAAAAAGAGTTTAAAAATAAAACAACTCATCAGCGAGTTAAGCTTATGCAGTCTTTTAAAATATTTTTTCTTTTGTCTCATAGTGGGAGGGAAGGGGGTCGAGGGGTTAGCAGAAAAAGGATGTATGTACAGGGGTCCACCTGGCAGAGGAGGCAGGCGGTAGCTCGGCTGTGAAGGGGACACAGACCACACCAGCTTCAGCCTCAGAGCCAGGGGAGCGGCGAGCTGGGAGACATTTCCCCTCGCAAGAAAATGTTGTTTCCTTCCTGTGACCCAGCCCTGGCCTGGGAATCTATGTAGGACTGTGATTGTCTCTGCCCTCCAGGGCCCATCAGCAGGGCACGCACTGGCTCAGCCTCCCATAGGCCATGACCCCTCTAGATTGGCGAGGCCCAGCCTGGGGTTCAGCATCTCAGAGCCGGAAGCCCCAGGAGAAGGTGTGGGCTAAGTCCCTCACAGATCTGCCCCCGGAGCCCTGGCAAGTGGATGACAGGCCAAGCGGAGGAAGACCAGGAGCACCTGGGGCAGCTCAGACCTCTCCCAGTCCTTGCGAGAAACAAGAGTGAAATAAGTTATTTCTGCTTACTCCTTTTTCCTTCTAAAAATGGTTTCCTTTGTTTGTCCCCTACTCCCTCCTCCGCTCTTCATAAAGTTGTCCTTTCTGCTCTCCAACAATTGTCCGTGATGGAAACCCCACCTGGGTAGCAGCTGGGCTGAGGCCACCCCTCAGCCCCAGTAAGAATCTTCATAGTGACCGGCGACTGCCGAGCAGAGCACCCACAGGTAGGGCAGCATGGGGCTCGGGCTGGGCTGACAGGAGAAGCATCAGTCTTTGGGGAAGGGCAGACAGGTAAGGTTTTGGTTCACCCATCCTTGGAGCACCCAGCCTTCAGCTGCAGGCCACCTTCCTCTGCATCCATCTGTCCATTCGTGGAGGGCTGTCCCTAGCCCATGGCGGTCACCATGCTGGATGGGTGGGGGTGGCCAAAGGAGAGGCTGGAGGAGGGGTGGATGGGTGTTGGGGTGGGCAAGATGTGTCCCGAGTGGCTGAAGGGTGGGAGGTGGCCAACAGGTGCCATATGTCCGGCCAGGGTGGCAGCGCTAAAGGGGGAGGCCTTCTCCTGCATACACTTGGACAGCTCCTCGAAGCACTCTGCCCCCTTCTTGTTCTTCTTCGACTTGTTGGACATCTTCCGGTTCCGAGTCTGGATCCCTTCCTTCTTCATGGTCAGTGGCCTATTCACCTGGGGGCAACCACAAAGCCTTCAGGGAGTCAAGTTCCCTTCCCAGAGCAAGACCCCCACCCCCTACTTGGGCTTGGGGCAGAGGCAGGCCTGGGCTGGGACCCCCCCCCCACCCCCTAAGCCCACATAGTCCTGTCACCAGCACTGCCCCAGTTTCAGGAAGGGCACTTAGCACTGTGTGAGGCTGACCTGTACCCTGCTGGACACTGAGCCCCCTAAATTCCAGCAGTGCCTCCCCAACTATACAACCAAAACACTCCCCGACTTTTGTGTTAAACAGAGAGAGTTGTTGGGCCTGCTGTGGAGAACACACCTCTAGCCAGCTTGCCCTCTGAGGGGAGCCCTCTGGAGCCCAGGGCTTTCCCAAGCCACGCCAAGCTGCACAGTGGCTGGGGCCTGTGCCTGGCAGCACAAAGAGCAGCGGTCCCTGGGGAGGGGTGGGGCAGGGCGGCGGGGCGGACTCACATTGTGCAGCTTGTAGTAGAGGCCACAGGCATTGCAGACAGGGTCCCCATTGGCGTTTCGGCGCCATAAGGTGGTGGTTGTCGTCTGACAATTTGCACAACAGGTGCCAGCTCTCCTAGCAGCAGACTGGGAGGGGAGGGGCAGCGTCAGCAGGCTGGGCTCCCACGCCCCACCTCCACCAGCCTCCCTGACCCTTGCCCCACCCCCACCCTGCCCCCACTGACTTAGCCAAAGAGCCTAAATCCCTAAGGAGAATTGAGGCACCTCAGAGCTGTGGACATGTAGAATTTGAGATCTAGACAACCACAGAACTTTAGAATAAAGAACTCTCAGAAGGCTGATCTCACTATCAATGGGGTTTCGAGAGCTGGAAGGGAAAATCAACTACCTCCTGGATTCACCAAACAATCTGACTCTAAAAATGGGGAAACCGAGGCCCCTGAGAAGTGCTCTTTATTTCTGGTCCTCCTAGAGTCCCTGGGTCTGGAGCTGCTTCTGTCTCCTCCCACAGGACTCGCCTCAAAATCCATAATTCTGGGCAGCGTCCTGCCTGAGGGCAAGGCAGGGCAGGGGTGGGGGGAGGGGAGGGTGGACCCTGTGGCTGCCCAGGGTGGTGATGTAAAATGTTTCGGGTGTCTCACTCAAGCCGAGCTGTCCAACACAGTAGCTACTAGCCACATGTGACGACTAGACTAAATTTCCATTTCATAAAAGTAGAAATCCTGTTTCTCCCATTGCACTGACTACATTTCAAGGAGTCCATAGTCACAGCATGGGCTGGAGCTTACCATAGTGGACTGTGCAGACCTAGAACATTTCCTTCATTGTAGGTTTACTGGACAATGCTGGTCTTTCTATTCAACCCCTTGTACCCCAAACCTCAAAGTCCTAACCGCCCCCAGGCCCTCAAGGAATGCAGGACAGAGGTGGTCGGGCAATGAGTGTCTGATTTCTGGAGAAGGGAGTGAAAGGCTGGCAGGAGAAGGCCACAGAGTCTTTATCCAAGAAAGTAGATTCCTTCTCCCGGTTCAACCAGTGCCTGCCCC